CATCTCTCCAATCCTGCCCTCAATCTTCTATTCCCATCTTCTGATCACAAATGGCCACTGCCATCCTTGAATTTTAACTGCCTCACAGTCCACACACCTGGGATGTTTGCAAAGGCAAACCATTCCATTATAATTTACAACTTTTTCCTCAGCCCTTCAGCTAAATCATTCACTTAGGACTATTTCTGCCTCATCTACAGAGACCCTCCCCTCTCTGGCCACCCCAATACCATCACAACCACATCATGCAATCCACCAAGGGCCAGAAGTGGATTTCCTGCTATTACACTAACCTCAGCCTACTAACTAACCTCTCAGCCTTTGGCTTTTAGACTGAGGGTGATTGTCCCCATCCTCACTTCCAGCCATCAATCATACCTATATGGTCACCCCCAGCCCATCAACCCTATCCTGAATAATTCCTCAGCCTTCCCCCAAGTAGAACATCATTCAGCATTTCCATGTGTGCATAGCTGGTCACTGGACAGGAATGATGCAGCCTTTGTAATTCAGAAAACCCCTGTCCCTTATCTATCACCTACTGTGATAGATACAAAGGCACAGCATCTAACAGAGGCCAGCTTTTCTTTCCCTGTTACCAATTTCCAATTTAGAACTAAACAACTGTTAACCTACTTTCCTACATGAGGTGAACTTTATGACTTTCCTTTACTCTCACTGCAGTTACTCTCACTATGCATTTCTTGCAGTTATCTCAAAACCAGCCCACAGAGTCTGTGAGCACCTAGCTTTCACAGCTAGCTGTTCTGAGCACTGCTACAGCACAGCACAGTAACTATACAAGGCCAAATGCCACATCCCAGGGACATTTTTTGGACCAAGAGTGGTCTGAATACCTAGCAGAGCTTAAATCCTTTGTAAACAATACAAAATTGAACTGCAAGCTAAATGTTTTACAAAGCAAATATAAACCTCACCATCACTTATGTTTTTGAAATGCTACCCTGTGTTACATAGATCATCAGGATGAGTTGAGCAATCAAGCAATTATTATTCATCTGTCCCATAAAAGCACCTGAAACAAGTGACAAAATGACAGTTTGGAGGCAATCTGAGCATCATGCACTACTGAAAAACTGCAATTTCACTTCAGGTGGCCTGGACTCCAGCTTATGTTCAATACACACTCTCCAAACTTAATAAGCTCTTAAGCACTAAGAAAGAAGATATTAATTCAATGGGGAATAGTATTTTCCTTCTGAAAGTATTAATAAAAATATTTACTTGTGAGGTCTTTTCCCTCTTACTATATCCAGGTAATATTTTGGCAGGGCAGTCCTGGCTCTCACCCACAAGTGAGCTAGAGCTTTGTTCCTCCCATGCACTGATTTCAAACTACACTGGGTCACCCCAAGAGTTCCTTCCAAGGGGATATAGTTTCAACACTAGCTCCAGAGACTTGAACTTCTTTCTCTACAAGGAGAAAAATATTTCTGTAATAGGTTGACCTTTCTTCAGATATGTTGATATCTGAAGGATGTCAGTTCATTGTGAGAATTTGGAAGCTGGCCATGACTCCAAAGGCTCCACATATTTTCAGAGTGACCATGCCTGTAATTTTAACCCATTGAAATGAAAGTGCATGGCTGGAGAAGAGCAGTACGTGCTTAAAAATTTCACTGTGACTCAAACACTGATTTATTTCCTGCAGCAGTGATTTGGTAGCATCACTTCCCAAAGACAAAAGGCAACAGGTTTTATTTCTATGACCTTCCTGCATTCTTGCAACTCACATGAAAAGGAACAATGGAAATGTGGCTGAATGTGAGAAAGCACAAAACTGCTACGGCTTTTTGGGTGGGTATGGAGAGAAACACACAAACTACAAAAAATCTAATAACTCCCCACCCAAGCATTGCTAGTGAATGACCTCACTGGTTTCCTACATACACTCCAGCAGCTTTCCTGCCATCACTCTGTTAAGCCAAGCAATGATGTCAACAGTCCACCTGTGAGAGTGATGTAGCCCTCTGGGTCATGGTCTCAGAGAACTTGGATAAAAGCTGTGCCAGTGTTAATTAAATGCACCTCTTGTTTCACTGCTGATTTCCTCTGATAAGGCTCAGCTCGTTTTTCCTGGAAAGACTTCCATGCTGTATGGGAACTGGAGCCAACCATAACACAAACCAAATATTGCTTAGAGAATATGAAGACAACATGCTAAATATTTAGTTTTAAAAAAAATCACTGTGTATCAGACCTGGGATAAATACAAATCTCATTACTTTGCATGTGCTAGTGACAAGGCTGAACTACAAATGCTAGTTACTGCAGATAGTTTATTATCTTTCAGCAGTACTTATCTCTCTCATTTGTAATGCTCTTCCCCATTACATTGGAGCAGAACTCTTGACATCCTGCTTTACTGATCAATTCTGATAGGTTAGAATATGAGAAATTTGCCTGGTAAAAAATATGCTTTGAGAATGGTGTTTGACATTTAATTAGCATCAGAATTATCGCTACAACTTTAATGAAAAATAGTATTTTTTTCCTGCCATCAGAAAAGCCTTAGTTATAAGAAGGTTCTGAGCAGCTTAGGTATTAAGGGACCTCTCTATTAAATACAGTTATCCAGCCAGCAGTGTAAGAGAAAAAAAATTTATACCGCTCCTTCTTTTTTTCCTATGTAAAGAAATCTAGTCCACTGTCATGACTGGATGTTTTCACCATAGGCTGTCACTGGGATTTCTGTAATCCCTCTACTCACAACATTGACTTCCAACCACTCTAAACCTTCAGGACATGCCCTTTTATACTTGCTTTGTTCTTGCAGACATTTTCAGATAGCTTTATTAGTAAGAGAAATGCCAAGGGAAGGCTTTCAGTTCTGAAGCTAGGCATCAAAAATATTTCTTCTTGCACAACTTAAAAAGTAACACTAACCCTAAGACATAGTTGCTGACAACAACACACACAAAAAATCTGAAGGTGACAAATTAGAAAAGTAGTTTCAAAAGCCGTGGTGCAATTACATTATGAAAGTTTGTCTCATGATGCTCACAACTCTTCACTCTGAAAGGCAGCAAGTGGGACCTCTTGCTATAAATTTAATTCTAAAGAAAGAACTGTGCATTAACGATGTTAGGAATACATTCAAATTCATTCATTCATTCTGATTTGTAGCAATTGTGATGGTTCCAAGAAGTGTTCTGTCCCCACATTCCTGAGCATTACATTCCTGAGCATTAGCAATATTTTTCCAAACAACCAATGATCGATGTCCATGTATTTACATTTTTACCTCTTGGGGATCTTATGTTTATACAATACCTCGCCTACAAACTCTCTTGGAATACATAACACAGGCTATACTGCCTTCCCAGCTCAGGATATGGGAGAGGTTCCATGGCTAATACTGCTTCTCACCAAAGTCAGGCTAACTAACTTAGACATATTTTTTACACTCTCCTCCAAAAAGAAATCTCATATACAAAATATCTTTCAAAAGAACTTCATTTTTTGGTTTCCAAATGGTAACAGAAAGAGGTAATCCTTGGTTTGGCTTATACTGCTCCTATGGACAGTTTCTATGGATTTATGACACTGAACTGCAGCTAGTTTATAGCAAAGCATGCAGGGTGTGACTCATTCAGAAAGCTCAACCCAAGAATATTTCATTCTAACATCCAACAGAAAAGCTCCCTCATGGATTTGAATTAGTTGCTGCCCATTACTCACATGCACTCCTTCTCATAACTTCATGACACACAACTTGCAGGGCAAACTTGAATCCAGGCCATGAAGGAGATACTAGAAGTTCTGACAAACTTTAACCCTGTCACCAGTAACTGGAATTTGATTTTACATGATTTAAATACACAGCTGCGCTCTGTTTCTGGAGGATGTGCATAATGTGGTCATTATGCAGAAGGAAAGCGTATCCCCAAGTCCAGTGACTTAAAGTGACACAGTTTCCTGAACTCCAGGAACCCTCCTGGTCAGAAAGTACTTCCTTCCTCATTTCAAACACTTGATTGTTTCGGAGGGAATTCAAAACAATAGATTAGAAACTTTCAACCTTTCCTAAGTGTACTGCTACACAAGGAAATCAGGCCGTGCTCTGGGAAGATGAGATAACATTGGGAGAGTACTCTTTCCGGAAATGCAATGGCTTTTGCATCCCTTCTCCAGCACCATCCCATGAATCAGCTACATGTAAGTAATAACTCTAGCTAGGAGATGTCAGATGCAGTTCAACTGCTGTTTGGATGAAGATGTGCATGGTTGGCAGAAGGCATGAGCCAACTCACTTCTCAGCTACTTCCATAAGGCCTGCAAGGGAAGAAGTATCAGGAGCTTCCAAATCTCAGTCTGTACTTGTAAGGATGGATAGGAAGAAAGGATGATGATTGTCTCTTTTTAGCACCTCGTTGTTTAAATCTCTAATAAAGAAGAAGGAATGTGCTATTGCTTCTGCAGTTAAAAATCTACCCCTTCCCACCATAACTTACTTTGACAGCACCACTAGTGATGTTCACAAAGACTAGGAGCAAATCAGGCTCATCAGCTGAAGAGCAATTCTTTTAAGCATACTCTATTCCCCAACAAAATTCCTTTAATCTAAATGCATTGAAATGGTTTGTAATTATAGATAAAAGATTTAAAATTTAGAATAATATCTAATTAGTTATTTACAGGCTGCAATTTGAATAAGAAAAGGCAACGACAAGTAAATTCATTTTTCTGTGGCATTAGGGTGCCTAAACACCCTAGACTAACCTAAAAACAACAGCAACAGAAGCAACAGCAAGAGCCATTCTCTCAGACCCGACAGTCAAAGCTCTCATATGACATTGCATTTTCTTGATTATCTTTTCCTATCAACGCAGAGCTCCATAAGGTTTGAGGATAAGATTATCATACAAAAGCAAGAACTCACATGGTTCTACACATTATTTTTAGAGGCAAACAGGAAATGCACTTCCCTGTCAAGCTGGGTGAAAGGGGAGTTAATGAGTGGAATGCTTTGCACTCACCGTTCCTACCAGAGGGTAGATGAATCCAGCTCCAATGCTGGCTCGCACATCACTAATCGGCAAAATGAATCCAGTGGGAACACCCTTCCTCTCAGGCTGATGGGAGAGGGATAGGTGAGTTTTTGCCATGCAAATGGGAAGATTTCCAAATCCCTAACAAAAAAAAAAAGGGAAAAAAATAAAAGAAAAACGTTTTTAAAATCACAGTAAAGGCACATTATGTTTTTGTTTTGTTATCAGTATCTTCTAGAAACCTCTCGTACAGCAGTTCTCTTTGGACTCTAATGATCCAGCTAGCAACTTGAGACCAGGATTCAGGGTCCAAAATTTTCTAAGGGTATCAATGTCTTCCTGGGGGTAAACACAGATGGTGCTCATGATGCTTTCCTTTTCTTTGTTTTTAAACAAGACAAAACCTGCAAGAGGTGATGTCACCCCCTTCACTAATGTCAGAGTGCTAATTACTGAAAACGTGGGAGAAAATCAGGAAAAGTGCCTCAGTAGCTCCCCCTGCCCATAATTTATCTCCAAGTTATTGATTAATCTTGAGTCAGGCACCTTCCACTCTTCTGTTCAATTCTTTTACAAACAGGGCCAGGAGGAGAGGTGGCACTTCAGGGAATTGTCTCTGCAGCCCAGTGCTGACAACTCTTTAAGAGTCATTGTGAGAATATTTCCTAATATACTAACACTTAGACTAAAAAGTGGATTGGAGAATCACAGCAGGAAAAAAAAGGGCGTGGATTATTTAGCTTCCAGTACAATAAGTAACCTTCTTTTCCATTTAGAAAAATAAAATTAATTCTCAGGAAGTTTGCATTTTAGGGAAGATGGCAGTCCACCTGTCTGACCAAGGACTTCTCTTGTCTGACCAAGCTGCTGAAGTTTACTCAGGAATTTTTCCTGGGCATATTGTTTCTATTTTCTGACAGAAAGGCTCCAGCCACATTTATGTCCAGAAGCCATTCCACTACAATAAACACATTCACCTCTCCACATGGTCTCAAAACTTTTTAAACTGTAACATGCTCTCACACGCTTTAGGATAGGTGATGTATTTCATGTTCTACTATTCGTAACTCCTTGAAAGTAGGAGTTACGAATAGGAACAGAAAGAAATCAAAAGATTTTACAAATATTGGCACCTTTGTTATCAATGTGTATAGCTGTGCACAGGTCTTACTGTGTTTTCAAGCTCTTTTTTGCAGGTACAAATGAACACTCTTATGCTAAAATTGGTTACATTTGCTAGCAGCAACTTTTGCAGATCTGCAGTTGTCAGGTTTAGGAGAGTAACCCAAACTGCACAGAAAGTACAGTTTCATGGACAATCCCAGAAGTTTTCTGAACTCCATTCATATCTCACAGGAGATTGCCCTCAAGGTTAAAACCATTCTCTCCTACCAAATCTAAACCAACCCATACTGACCTCCAGAGTTCACTACCATGGGTAAGTAAGCTCATGCCTTTCAGCAAAGCTTGACTTAACACTCCACTATGAGAACATGTTACACCCTGAGGTTTCCCAAGACTCACATCCAGCACAATTCCCTGGTGCTCTTACCTGCCTACACAATTCCCTGGTGCTCTTACCTGCCGGGTGTAACGATCAACTTGAGACTGGGCAGCAGGAGACAACTCGATATCCTGAGCTCCATACACCTTCTGAGCAATGATCCTTATTTTTTCAACAATAGGAAGCTGCAGAGACAAGGAAACAACACAAGGATGAACGTTGTCCAAGAGAAACTAGGATTTGTTTGCTGAGTGAGGTCTCTGAATCTCTCATTTAGATTCATCCCTGTTAAACAGGCTTGCTAAAGCACGAGACCAAGTAAGGAGCAGTGGTGATGCATATGATACACAACTACAGGTACATGAACTAACAGCTGTGATTTCAGCTACTCCATTTGGAAGCTTTACAGTTTGTGCATTACAGAGTAGACAACGTGAACTTATGCTCACCTGAAGTAGGGGGAGAAAATTACTGCCATCTAGTTATGACAATGAAGAGATAACCTACACCTCAATCTCCACTAGGTTAGCAGTGATCACTAGACAAGGAAGTTTCATTTCAGAATAAAGACAACCTACATGAGTAGACAAAGCAAGGTAGGACGCAGTCAGGGAAGGTTCCCCTGAGAAGTGAGGAATTGTAGCAGAAAATTCCTGATCACTGCTCCTTTGATTGTGGTTTTCTTTCATTGTTATTATTCTTACCTCCTATCCTTTGTAACATGCATATTTTTAAATGTAGCTTTGATATTGTAAAGCACTTTGGACACTTAAAAAATAATATGAAAGAATTCTAAAATTCATTTTGAAACCCCAAGTCACTAAGTTAAATCCCAGTCTCCAAGAGTATTCACAGCATGTTATTCAGCTCAAACTGAACAAGTTCTGCCTTCACAGCTTCTATTTGAAGGCAGAGGCAGACTCTCACATTCAATCTCTTACAAAACCCTTAACATATTTTCAAGAAACAGGTTTTTGTGGTCAGATCAGGCATTTACTTTTTGTGCCATCATTTTTGTGTATTTAGAGTAAACAACTCTTTCCTATTTCCTTGTTCTCTTTCCTTTTGTTTTTAATGGCCCATGAGACAGCAATTGTGACTCCTCTGGCTTATTTTAAACAAGCCATTCTCCGACTTCTTTCAATAGGAACAGGATGATGGAGGAGGCATCTTACCACGAGTTCAGATAATTCTGTGCTCACTGTAGATGGCCAGAGATGTGTGCAATATTAAAGGGAATATCTCATCAGTAACTTGTAGAATATTTAATTAATAACACCCGTGGAATAAGTGCTAAACAAAGTCTAGAGAGATAATCACTTGGGGAAGAAGACTTGGTAATGCAAATACAATCCAAAAAGCAATACAAAAAGCACCAGGACACAAAATAGAAGTGTATAATTTTATTCCAACAAAGGCAAGAAATTAATTAATTTGTGAATAATGAACCCTATCTGATGCATTTATAGGAAGTTCCATAGTTAACCACATTTTTGCAATACCTGTCTGGAAGTAGTTCTTTTTCTGCAAAGATACATCAGTTGAAAGGTTTGTGTCAGGCCAATCTTTTTTGTATTTATGATTAAATTTTAGAAAAATTAAAGCTTACGTTAATAAAGAACTTCAGTAACAGAGTTATCACAAGAAAAGAATCTCTCCAGACTTCCAAGTACCTTAAATGTAAGGCAGTTAAAAGCTACTAAGGCTCAGCTAAAATTCCCCCTCAGATCTGAAATTACAAAGACAGGTTTAAAGAAGCTTCACAAGGCACTTTCTGAACATGCTTACGACACAATTACTGCACCTTAATTGGGTGGAATAATGTCAATTCCCAACATCAGGCTTTTTACAGGAATCCAAGCAGTGCAGGAAAATCTAATCAGGACTGGAGATAGCACATTGCAAATATCCTGGGTATAATTCCTGGCAGCAGCAAGCTGAATGGAATACTTAGTGTCATGGATAGCCATCACAAGATGAAATTTGTCTCAGGGTGATTATTAAGTACGTTCATATCCATGGCAGTTTTCAACACAGTGGGAGAAATGCAAAACATGTCTGTTAATTTGCCTTCTGGGTGCTGTTTGCTTGCAGTAAAGGACTAACAGCAATGGCAAATGGAAAGGCAAAAGGAATTCCATTCCTTGTTGTCAGCAGGCCAACATGGAAACTAACAGCTTTCTGCTTAAACCTCAGTAAATTCACCGAGATGGAGATGGACATTTAGATTCAACTTGCATTTGTGTCAAAACATTTCAAACTAATTTGACAGCAGTGTAACTACTGCGCCTTCAGCCCCCTTCCAATGACCACAGCTGTATTTTCCAAAAGAAACCCAGCAGGGCTCTGGCTAATATCAGAGGAGAATGCTTTAATGACAGTGGTGGCACTTTGCCTCTCCTGGGATACGTGCAGTGTGTTGCATGGCTGAGTCTGAGCTGGACAGTCAAAGCATATCCCTGTGGATTTATGGTTTGTGGCTTTTTTCCTGGCTTGTTTTTTCTTTAACCAGAATTTCAGATACTTTTTGGGTCAGTACCCACACGTGAAATTTGGCAAATGTAACCTCAGAAGAATCACCATTGAGGAAGGAGTTCTGGGAGTGTGAATAGCAAAATGAAGTGGTTTCCTGAGCCTGTCCTGTTCTTGCCAGGCATGCTCACACAAACAGGTGAGGCAATGTGTGCATGGTGTCAGAGGAGAGTCTGAGCCTATTTAACCTCAGCAGAGGCAAGATGAGTCTTGGCTGAGCCAAACTCAGGCAGAAACCAGCAGGAAGGCACAGATGTGCTATGGACATCAACACAGCCCATGCACATGCACACTCTCAGATATGCTTCCTTCCTGAAGTTTCAGGAGTAGGGAAAGGAGTACACTACACCATGCTAAGGATCCACCTGTTTCCTAGTATTTATTGTGATTTTTAAAGCATTATCTATTTAGAACCACAGTGTATCAGGGCATTTCAAGCTAAAAAGTTTCCTTTGTTTCAGTTATCAAATAATACTGCTAGGAAACTTCATTTTAATTTAAAGAAATGTTTTCCAAGCTAAAAAAACACCAATGCTTTACACAGAAAATAAAAATTAATTTTGCTTGAAAGTGCCATAATAGTATTTTAACAGAAAAGAAGTTCTACTTGTTCAAGAGGCATTTTACATAGCAGAAGCCTGGATTTACAAGACACTTGTTTAGCTTTAGGTTTTCAACAAAACTGTTGATTATTCAGCACTTCACTATCAAAATAGTCTCACTGATGGGCAAAGACATCCACCATATGTAGCAACAATGCTAATTCACACAGAGAAGGGGGCTGAAAAACAAAACTCCTATTGCACAAGTAACTAAATCATTAGGGGATTTTATGCTGGATTTTTGCTCCAGTTGATATCAGACTTATTTAGAAAAAATCGTGAACTACCTGTTTGTGCCTTATATACTTTGGTCAAATGTCTGCCAGCAGAAACCACAGATCTCAAAAAAAAAGAGTAATTTCACATCTGCTGTGGTTTGGGAATGGTACTCTCCAATTCAGTGTCCCCACCAAGACCCTCCAGGAATTCCTTCTCCCAGGAAGCAACTCCTTTTCCCCTGCCCCCATGATGTGATGTTGTATAGAATAACCTCCTGGTCTGCCCCCTTTGTACTGCTGCAAAAATTAACCCTGTCCAGGCCAGGAGCAGGATACCATCTCTCCCTTCTTGTTTTGTCTGAGAATTTTTTACAATGGCCTTAGGAATTTCCTGAACTGGTTGTTCATCCCCACTAGCAAACTCCAGGGCTGCACCCTTAGCTGTGCTGATGCAATCCCTTGCAGGCCATCACCAGAAGAGTCTTAAGGAAAGGAGGATTAAAATTCTAAATGGGGAGTGTTGATGCACCCATATCAACAACAACTTGATTTCACAGCACCTCTGCCACCTGGAGAGCTAGGGTGAGAAGGAAAGTTGTAAAATGTCCAGAGTGTCAAAAGCATGAAAGATTTATGTTCAGCAATAAAAGCTATTTCTCTTCTCAGTTCCCTTATGTAAAGTTGTGACTGTTGCACAACTAAGTACATTTAGGTGAAGATTAGGTGACAGATAGACAATAGACAGTATAGATTTGGACAGAACCTGACTTTTATAGATATGCAACTACCTATCAGTACTACTGCTGAAGGAATTATGGCAGCTTCAGAGAATTAATTCCAAATTCAATTTCAGCTTCCTGAGAAAATGATGTCATAAAATACTTATGCAAATTTACATTGAATATAAAAGGATGCTTCAGGGTGACACAATAGAAATATCTGCAGACAATTCATTAAGATTCTCTCAGAAACAACCAATCTTGCCACTCCTGCCAGAGAGAATGTTCACTTCTGAAATCTCACACATTTAGAGCTACCAAAGCCATATGCTGCTTTTCAGGCAAGCACAAACACACAGGCTTGCTGAGGCTGCCAAGCACCCACACCATAAATGAGATTATCTCCTAGGCTAAAGCACAACAAGTGCTAAAGCACAAACTGCTTTCACAAAAACAGCATCTATGTAGCTGTACATTTCATTACTTGATAGAGAATAATTAAACCATGAAATCAGCACTGATAAAGGTGAGAGCCTGTCATTCCCAGGAGTGTTTTGATTATCTAAACCGAATCATACCAGTGTTATCATCCAGCCATACTGCCACTTCCAGTCCATCTCACTTGCAACACATGATATTAGTGCCAAGTGGTGCTGCTTATTACAAAATCTTCTTTCTTCCCTTAGTATTGACAGCAATGTTTTCACTAAAACATAATTGAATAGTGCTTAATTTCTGCTAACCTTTTCTCACATTTCCTTCATCTATTCCTTCACTTCTAACAGCTGACTTGATAAGGACAAGGGGCTTGATAAGGATTGACAGGGCTTGATAAGGATTTCCATGGACAGCAGACCAGCTACAATAGATCTTCCTTTCACCCTTGTTTCCTCTGCTGCTCACACTCACCCAAGTGCCAGTGCAACCGAGGCAGCAGCTGCACATACCAGAGACAGTCAGCCAGGCCAAAACATAGCCCAGGGAAAAAACCCTATTGCAACCCCATATCAGTTCACATATCCACCTTAACATAAAGGCAAAGCCCGTGTGAAGCAGGAAAAATTGCTCAAACTGTTCAAATCTGAGCACTGAAAGGTACCAGCAGAAAAAGCAA